ATATAGGTGTCAAACGAAAAGTATTTGAAACATTATTGATTAAGAAATATTTCCTATAGGCCTGCCACCTACCTGAGCGGTAAAAACTAAAAGCCATACTCGCAAATATTATTCAAAGCTTTTTAAGCAGTGTGCGCTTTCACTCATCAGCACCTGGGTTCAAAGCAACATCGCAAAAAAATATAGAAAAAGGTTTTTTCTTAACAGCGGTCGTCCCTCGGCAGGCAATAGCAAACCTCCGAGTGTATTTCTGCTATGAAAAACGGCTTCTCATAAAAATACAATCGCCGTTCGGAGTCGGCGTAAAACTGTAGGTCCCTCCGCTTTGTGTGACAACATCAAGGCGCACACTACAAATCGGAGGAGAAGCTCAGCCATACACTAACATATGTGTAAGCGCCAAGAGAGTACGCGAAAATTCTCTCCCAAAGAGATGAAAAAGCAAAAAAGTAAACGAACAGGAAATTACCCATTACTTGCAAAAACCGGAAGAAGAAGACACACCAGCTGAGTTTGTTTATGTTTTATTTGTAAACAAACTGAAATTCATGTTGCCTCCATAGAAGAAAAAAGGAAAGTGAACGTTCAATGTTCGCCAGGAACATTTCTAGAAGTAAAAACTAGTTGGCGCTATCATTAAGTCACATAGCAGGCAGCCAAAAAGCATATAAATTCCAAAACTCGGAAAATGCAATTTTAGTTGCGTTCCCCAACTTTTCTGGGTTAAAACCTGTAAAACTGTCAAAAAGCAAAAGAAACCAGAGAACCGAGTACGGGAACGCTTTCTGGTAAATTCCTGTAAATTCCTGCAACTTCCTGCGAGTTAGGGAACGCAACTTATTGCAACCATATGTTTTGTGATCATATGTTTTCGTGTTGGATAATTTTTGCTGACTAAAATTTTGCCAGTACAAAATGAACGCTTCTCTTGCATCAAAATGAACGCTTGCTCTCTCAATTTTTGTGTGTTGGATAATTTTTTGTCGTTATCGAACGCCATCCAGTAAAAATTTGGAAAAACTATTACAAATTTTTGACTTGTCGAACGCACCTATTATTATTTTGAAGCTCGCATCAATGTGGAATATTGTAACTCCGTCAAGTTAGTGTTTATTGATGGCAAACAAAGTACTATCATGTTTGGCAATGATATCACCTCGAGATAAAAAAAAAAACAAAAGCCGAAGGATTAGCCGAAGCAGTTCGTACAAATCTTCCACATTTGACTAACAAAAAAATATGGCCTACGACTCTTTTATAGAAGCTGTGGACACTGGAGTAAATTTTAAACAAAAAACAAAACCGACTTCAATTCTCATATACAAATTTAAGTGTACCATTATTTTCTTCATGACCCAATTATCGGATCTACACTCAATTAGTAGGAGACTACCTCTGAGGAACCACCTTTCCTTTAAAAAAGAATTATAGAAAACGGGTAACGTAGTCCAAAGTTATGCGGTAACATACATAAAAAAAATAGTCCGACGAGTTGATAAAATATGCAGATTAATATTTAATAAAGTGTTGCGGATGTTTTTTTTAATACCAACCTGTGCTTGGGAGTTTATTGATACGAAAAATTAATTTCTGATATATATTTTTTATTTAAAGAACCGCAAGTTTACACTACAAAGCAAATTACATATTTTTACTATTGTAACAGGAGAAGTTACTGTATGTATGTACAGTGTCGAACAAAAGTTTTGGTAAAAGTGCACTTTAGCGAAGGTAGGTCAAAATGGACGGAAAAAGTTCGAGAGTGGTATCAATCGACGCGTCTTAACGCCAATAATAACAATCCGGAAATTAACATTTTTAATTAATTAAAGAGTTATTTGCATAAAACACTTGCACTTTCCGCACTATGTTTTGATGAATTTCACGCAAATGAATGGAATAAATGAACTTAATTTAACACGTATTTTTTAGTTGTTATACATTTGTGATGTTTTAAGTGTACATTTTCGCGAAATTCTGTATTTAATAGGAATATTCCGATGGTGAAAATCCGCACAACAATCTTGCGTAGTTAATATAAATAACATGGAGGGAAATTAGTGTTGCCACTCTATTAAAAATAAAATGGAACTAAATTGCTGCTGCCACTGTATTAAAAAAGTGTTTGTCCGTCCAACTTCTTTTTGCGTAGGCGGCCTTCGGCCGCGCTTAGGGATTATAACCCTCACAACGTAGAATTCTCCTTTCTGTGTTGCCAAAGAAAAGGGGCAGAACACCTTTTCCAGATAACACCTTTCTGCGTAGGCGGCCTTCGGCCGCGCTTAGGGATTATAACCCTCACAACATAGAATTCTCCTTTCTGCATGCGAAGAAAAGGAACAGAAATCCCCTTTTCACAAAAGTATATTTCTTGTGCATTATTTGGGTGTTTTTAAAGTTGAAATACAAATTGTATTAATATAGTGGCAGCACTAGTTTTCCTCCATCTTATTTATATTAGGTGCGTTCGCGTAGCTGTTAATTGTTCATGTTTAACCAAAACTTACAAGTTTTTGCGTTCGCGTACGTATCAAAAACAGCTGGTTGGCATTTACGCAAATCACAAAATTGAAGTTGATGGTTTGGAAGATAAAAATTACAAAATGCGACTAATTAAACTTGTAAGAAATAAGTAGTTATTTGTTTAATCAATAAACTGTGTCAGTATAACACTTTGCGATGACTTTTCGTACGTTTTAAATTTTACACTTTTGTATGTAAACAAAAATTATATCAGCTGTTCGTCTAACTTGCAAGTTTCTGCAAATTTTCTGTTCGCGTACTATTTTGGATATTTCCCTCTTGTGAGAGAACAGATGACATTTCGCCGAAATTTGGCAGTTGGTTGGTTTCTGCTGGAGATTTTAAACGAACGCACCTATTAACTACACCACATTGTTGTGCGGATTTTCACCATCGGAATATTGCTATTAAATACAGAATTTCGCGAAAGTGTACACTTAAAACATCACAAATGTATAAAAACTAATAAATACGTGTTCAATTAAGTTCATTTATTCCATTCATTTGCGTGAAATTCATCAAAACATAGTGCGGAAAGTGCAAGTGTTTTTTTGCAAATAACTCATTAATTAATTAAAAATGTTAATTTCCAGTCTCGGATTGTTATTATTGGCGTTAAGACGCGTCGATTAATACCACGCTCGAACTTTTTCCGTCCATTTTGACCTACCTTCGCCAAAGTGCACTACTACCAAAGTTTTGGCACAGTGAATTTTCGCACTACATATATGAAAAGTTTTTAATTTATTCCCGATAATTTTTGCACTTTGATAAACTAAAATTGAATGGATTATTAAACTGCATTCTTGGAAATTTTCTAAGAAATCTGTATAGAAAGTTGCAAATTAGTATGCAAATTTATTTAATTTTCCCGAGTTTTTCACAAAGTTTACACATTTAATTTTTATGTGTTTTGGTGTAGTATGAACTTTGTTTTTATAAAAACATATCGGAAATAAATTCGAAACTTTGCCTATATTGCGAAAAATTCACTGTGCCAATACTTTTGTTCGTTACTGTAAGTAAATAAAATTTTAACTTTAAAAAACCAAAAAAAAAAAAATTTACAATATTTCAAAATTATTTTTCGAATCATAAACTTTTTTATGATTAACAATGTATTTATGGTTTTTTTGGTTTTAGATCCTTTTTGCTTTCAACTCGAGGTATAATTTTTCTACATTCTATTGTCATAGCCATAAATCCCTCTCTATTTTTATCCATCAATCAGTCAATTTTATATTTTTTTCGGCATTTTTCCTAATTACAAGTAGAGCTTTATAAAACTTTTATAACCCAAATGTTTATCAAGCTTAGGATTTTGTGTTATCCGGGCAGGATTATTAATTTATCCAGAGAATATGTTTTCTTTATTAAGTTTACCCAGTTACCCATTTTAAACTGCTACCTGTACTGTATCAGCGGTTAAAACTTGTCAATTTTTTTTTTAATTTTAGGTAAGGAATAAGCGAGTGGATGAAAAATATATAACGCTAAGAACGGCCTATATATATGTATATGAAAGAATACACACAAGCGACGACTCTAGCCATTGTGAGTCACTCCTTTAAATTATAGTTAATTTTTTCTTATTGTATTAAAAAAAATAACGTTCGTAACACTTTAGTAAATATTCCGTATATTAACTTAGTATATATTAAAGACTAGAAGATGACCCGGTGAACTTCATATCATCTATAATTTATTTGAATTTCACTTTGATCAATTATAAAAAATCTTCATAATGCAATTAAATGAGATCACTAATAGCTGTTATAGCTGATAAAAGATTCCACACCTATGAGATGTGCCACGCCCCCTTTTACAAACTCATTTATATACATATATCTTTCTATAAGCACTTACCATAGGTATCTGTGCATTTCAAATTTCGACTTCATGTGGAAATAATTCCGAAGTTAGAGCTGATTAAAAATGTTCACTATGGGAGGTGCTGCCCCACTCAACTGTTGCGTTGAAAGGGAGTACATAACAACGCGTTCAGAAGATGCAATCGCAACAGTTACTGAGCTGAATTGAAGCAACGGGAAATTTCGCTTGGTTTGTCTAGCCGCTTGTGTGGTTTATTTTGTTCTTTGCTGTATAATGAACTGCTGGGTAAACAAAATTCCCATTTTCTTTTGTTTCTTCTGACTTTTCCTGTCACAAATTTTGACTTTTCAGTTGCTTTGTTAATTCCAGTCATTTATTTTCTAAACTATCTGATAACTAGCCGTACAGAAGTAAATATCTTATGATATTAGTACAAAATTAAGTTTGATTTTGTATATTTTTTGCAAATACCGTATACATTTGCATGATAACGAACTTTTGTTGATAAGACTATTCTCCTTTGTCGTTATCGGCGTTATCAAATATAGAAAAACAAAAGATACAATAAAGGATAGCAAGTCTAGGTGATTTGGAAAAAATCTTTCATTTTAATTTACATATTTTCCCTCTTTTAATCTCTCTAGGAGCAGTAAACAGTAAGGTGAAAACGCTACAAAATAATAACATATAGAGAGGCAAAAACGCACTGCTGCTTTAAGTAGTTTTGCTGCACGGATACCAAAATCCCTAGCAATGGGACAACTTATGGGAAAGCTAGCGGAACCGCTACAGCACTGCAGCGACAGTGTCGTGAATATATTGGCTGGAAGACGCAAGCGAAAACGATCCATAGACTCACGGAGTTCCTCAGATGACCTCAAGAACAACGAAACGCAATCGCCAAAGAAGTAAATATGTGTATACATTTTTATATGACTATTAATAGTAATAATAATAATGACTATTAATAGTTATAATAATATTATTCTTATACATATCGCACACCGTCTTCAAAAGAGTCAACTAAGAATAATACGTTTGTGAGAAAATGCGAAAAACTATTTCTTAGCACATGATAATCATATGGGCAAGGACGACTTTACCTTACTTTTTTTAAACAAATTATAACAAAAATCTGCTACAGCTTTTGTTCAAAGGTAAATAAAAGCTCTGCGTACATTTTAAGCGCATAATCTCAAAAATGCCAAATTTTGAGTTGTGACTCTTTTGAAGACGGTGTGCGATATGTATTTAAACATCTTGCAAATTATTCTTAACGCTTTGATTTAAATATACTTTGAACAGGAAAAAACTACTTACCACCACACAATATATTTATCAAGCTCTTTTTAAGGAGCAAACAAATTCGGATATCGCCGTAATGGCTCTGGGCAAAGTTTGGAATCTACACAAGGTGTATCTATGCCAGAGTCCATACTTTTATAGTATGTTTAACGGCTCATGGAAGGAGTCATGTCAGGACTTCGTGCACATAAAAATTTTAGATGATCGCATCACGTTGGAAGGCAAGCGAATATTGTATTAAACAATATACAGGGAATGGTGTTGATCTACATATATACATATGATATCCAATTACAGCACTGGATGCCGTTTTTGGTTCCATGTACTCTGACGAGATAGAAATCGATCCAAAGGCTGTAATTTCGGTATTAGCCACCGCAACACTCTTCCATTTAGATGGCATTATTGATAAATGCGCCGAAGTGATGATTGAATCCATCAACGCGGACGTAGGTGCAATGCCAGGCTCTGTTTTTTCTTTTTCTTTATACTTTTCGCTATTTTTTCCAGACTGCCATATGTTACTATGAAGCGGCTTGCCAGTATGGAAGCGTGAATGTAAAGAAGGCTGCTATGGTGTGGTTGGAAACTAATTTGCTATGTATATACCCCAAAGACGACCTCTTATTGCGGCAGATAAGTATCGAGTTAATGACGAAGTTAATAGCCAGCCCAGATTTGTACGTAATGCAGACCGAGTTTTCGTTGTACACACTGCTACGAACGTGGATGTATCTGCATTTGAATCCGCAGTATGACTCTGATAACAATTCTGATGCCTTTTTGGCCGCAACTGGGGGCAGAGACAGGGGTCGAAGCTGTAGTAGTGGGAGTACCAATAGCAGCAAAAGTGGCGGCGACAGTCCATCTCTTGCAGACCTCATACAAGCTTTCTTCGGAAACCGCAGCGAAAGGCGCCCATTCCTGGCCACACCTGAAGGTCAACAATTCGTTCCTCCATTCCAAGCGCTACGCACGCAGTACTTAACCAATCATCACACAGATTTAAAGATCGTACTTAATGATAATATCATTCCAAAGGATTGGCTGCATAGCCACGTACTAAGCCACTGGCATTCAATTTTAAAGGTCGACCACCTGCCGGAGGAGGGGTGAGTAGATAATACATTAATACAAATGATTTTGTAGGTGATTATTTGGTAACTATTTTTGTAGCATTACCGTTTTTATAGCCAGAAATTTCAAAATTAAATTTAAATGCACGGAATACACTGAAACAGTTACCTCTACTTACTCACCAAACCCATTTTAAGGGCTTCGTTAGCTAAAAAATCCTGTTATGACACCCAACGGAAGGCTAAAGCCGTTCTTTGGTAGTTTAGTATCCGTTTTGTTAATTTGAGGTCATGGGACCAAGCATGGCCCTGGATACTTTGCATTTACGTTGCTGGGATCACCTTTTATCCGCCTCTTGAAATATGCCTAACGCATATTTCTTTTAAAAAGCCTGTAGGGAGATAGTAGCACTACGTTTGCTATGCCCAGGTATACAGTACAAGTGTATTCTCCTATTTTTAATAAATATCTGTATCCTAAAACACTTTTTGAGGTCGTTGTTGTTTTTGTAGCGGCTACAACAACCCCGCCCAGATTGGTTAGTGCCTCAATCGTTGTCATCCAGCTCTACTAGCGGTAAACCCAGGAAGCGTGCAGCCTCAATGGGGTCTGTGTATAAGGACAGAGGCGTTAGCTGGGTGGGGTTCAGTGGGCACGCGTGGGTATTCACTTCGCATATCTGCATTTATTCCGCTCAGGTATGAGTTCCAGAATGAAGTTGGGCTGTTATTGTCCGAGTCAACAGAGGCAGACGAAGCACAAGTCATCAATTCCATTCCCAGTCGCCATTATCGAACAATCGTCCACATAAGAGACAATCGAGACTCCCTCTGGTGGTTGAGGGAGCTTAGATATAAAAGTTGAACAGTAGTGGGGAAAAGACACCACCCTGTGGAACCCCCTGTTTTCATTTTCCTAGGTTTGCTCGATGGCGAGTGTTGACCACTCAGATAGATCGCTGACCACCGTTTGAGTCCCTGTGGGAGACGAGGGCGCTGTGTCTTCTAGTAGCGTTCAGTGTCTGACGGTGTCGAACGCCTTGGACAGGTCCAACGCTACTAGAATGGTTTTCTCACAGGGGCGGTTTTGGTTAAGGCCACGAGTTATCTGGGAGTAGAAGGGCCTCTAGTGTCTTCGCTACCGGGGAAAGGAGATTTATAGGGTGATAGGCCTCTCTTTTGCAGGACGGTGTCCCGAGTTTAAGCAGCGGGACCACTCTCCCCATTTTCCAGATGTCAGGTTGAGGGCCTTGGTCAAATATTCCACTCCCGCAGGACCCAAATTTTTCAGCATCAGCATACAAATTCCGTTGGGTCCAATGGCTTTGGAGGCTTTCGCCTTCCCGAATGCTACCGTTACCTCGCCGCTCGCCAGAGTATGCAGTATGAACTGTCGGCTAAAATAGCTCGCGCATCGCTCCGGGTCCGCCGAAGCGTGGTCGCCAAAAGATATTTCAACTCTGTCGTCACGCCTCATCGGGTTGGACAATGACCTCACGGTTGACCTTACTTACTGAAGCTTACTCAGACCAGAGGCGAAGTTGCAGGTCTTCAGATGCTCTTCCCACTTCTTCCGCTTATGTACATACATTCACAAGTTGCCAAATCTCCGAGTTGAGATCCCTGATACGGGTATTTCCAAGATCGGCCCGACGAGGGTTGCACGCTTATCGGCTAGGACAGCCGCTTCAGCAGGAATATTTGGACGGGGTCCGAAATGCATCCTGCTGGAACGAGGCGGGCTGCAGCAGCAGTGAGAACCCTGTGGAATTTACGCTCACCTATGTGAACGTCGGTTGGTGTGGGTAGGGCAGTGAAGGTGATTTCAGTAAAATCTGCAAAGCCTTTCCAGTCAGCTTTAGAGAAGTTGACATAGGTCCGGTGATCCGCGGAAGCAAAGTCGGCTGGTTTATCAATCGAGATGACTAGGGGCAGATGGTCTGATGCAAAGGTCAGCATAGGTCGCCATGGTATGCTGTTGAGCAGACCAGCGCTGACAATTGTTAGGTCTGGCGAGCTGCAGAAGCTGCCCATAATCCTGGTGGGTGCGTCGCATAGCGGGCAAAAGTAGTAGAGGATTAGGGAATTCTGACCAAACCAAAAAGAATTTTTGATAAAACTGCATATTTGCAGTCATGACACGAGCTTAAAGTAGGAACAATGCGAAAGAATAAATTTGTAAGAAAAAATTTTGATTTTGTTGTAATTAATTTGTATCAATTCTTCCACTTGTGCGGATATACTAAATGCCAATCCGATTGATGAGCAGTTTTTGAATATATCTGTGGTCAATGATTGCCATACATTTTTATAAATCTTTTGACAGTTTACTTTTAAATTCTACATAATTTTGTAAGTATACAATTTTCCGAGGGATATTTTAAAAGGACCTAGGAAGCAAGCTATATTATACTTCGGACAAGTAAACATTAAATATGCGTGTCATATCTCAAATAGTTCCAACTGCGAGGAAATGCGAGTTTAACTTCTATTCTTCCTCCTGTAAAGTTTATTGAATTTTTATTGTAGAGCTGAGGGAAAAGACTCTGAAATGTACATAAAGTAAATAATAGGCAATATAAAATGGATATTGGAATGATACCTACACCTTGTAGATATTACTGACTCGCCAATCTATTAATCACATTCAACATTCAGTCAAAAATGGACGCTTCCCAGGACGAGATCCGTTTTCGATGGCAAAAGTCCTACTTGCCTTACCACAGGCTTTGTTGTATAAAATGTAGGTAAAGTTAAAAGTTTGAGTGTAAATACATATCGTGCACATAATTTAGTATGCAGGTATGGTAAATGTTTTGGTTTTGTCATTTTCAAAATGAAGAAATAGGAACTTCTTTAGAAATAAAATAAAGGTGAATGTTAATTTTCTCCAAAATTCATAAAATTTAGTACTTGGAGCCAAGAAAGTTTTGTAGGACGCAAGCGCCGTAATAAGAAATTCTTTATTATCTTTTAAGTTGGAAGTTGTCTTAAACGAGCAGGGCACACCGAATTTCATCGAATTTTTAATTTTTTTTTTTAATTTGCGCCTGTTTTCTAGAATGACTGGACGATAATGTAAACCGATTTTGACGATCTTTCAGATTTATGCTTTTCTCGTTAAAACCATAACACTTACTATTTCCGCTCACAAGAGCTGTGGGCGTGGTAGCGCGTTTACAATTTTCCACATTTCTTCATTCCTAAGTTCCAAATAGCGCATATACGAAATTTCAGTCAATTTCTAGTACAGTTAGTACTTTTGGCCGTAGCTTATATGGGGACGTCCCACTGTGCGTCGTCGTTTATTGTGCAGAATGTCGAACGTCTATCTGCACAGCCAAGTGTGTTCCGCTACGATCATTCGACAGGCTTGAATGCTAAAGATCGTGGTGTTGTTGTAGCAGCATACAAATTCCACAAAGACTTTTTGGGGAGTGTTGCTGGATGACAGTCCTTGGCCAGATATAAATCTGGGTCGTTCCGGTTACGTAGACCCGACTGTCGTGGGAACGTTGCGTTGCGTAAGCCTTCTTATTCATTGCTCTCCACCGCACTAGTACTCCGTGAAATAATCTTTTTACATGCGTAAAGAGCACGCAACGCAGTATTTCTCCCGGGTATTTCGTGTGATTTATATATTTTAAAGTCGTGCCCCCAAATGAGGATTCCTCCACTCCTGAATAATAAAATTAAACTCTCTGGTGAAGAGCACTATGTAAGTTTTGTCCGGATTTACACGGTAGCCTATTTCCTAGGAGCAGTTGTGAATAATGCGAACGATAAATTTTTCATCAAACCTTACCCTGGTTTCATACATTGTCGAGGAGTTATTGTGTTCTTGTTATATACATATAATTACTAAACAATGCGAAAACAGAGTTGAAAAAAAAATCCTTATAAGATACAACTGACAAATGACGTTATGGATTTTTGGGACGTCCCCCTCATAGGAGTTAGAAAAAGTATGCAACGATTTTGTAAATGGGAAATAAGTTCGGGATTTTTTTCTATTGTAAGATGGTTGTTATTATCCTTACAGACCACAAAACCTTGAGCCTGATGCCTTCTACAAAAATTGTATGCGTTGCGGTCGCATACTTCTTGAACCCGGATATCAGAAATGGCGTTGGACAGGTTTCAATTTCGGCTTGGACCTCGTATTAGTTGCTGACTCACGCCTGCTCAGCATACGCCGACATCATCGCAATGAACATGAACGTTTACTCAGTCTTCAAACTAAGAGGCAATTTATGATACGGTAAAGAGAAAAATCTAATTTCAAATTTTAGTGTTTTTATTGCACATAAACAAAAAAAAAAAAATTCAATTATTTTACAGCACATCCGTAACATCTATAAATTCACAGCGGCAGCCCGTATTTACTCAAAAAACCGAGATTACCTCACTCAGCTTGGAAAAGAATCAAGAAGTGACGATAATGCTTATGGACACGAAGCTGGTGCACCCGCTGCTCATATCGGTGAATCTCTTGGTGGTACCACCGACGTCGCAACTATTTAAGCAGCATGTGCTCAACAACGAAGATATGGCTAATTCAGCAGTTCCTATTTCGGAAATTGGTGCCAACTGCAATCCTGCTGGTGATGCAGCATCTTTGCAACGACCAAGCACACCAATAAATGCAACCACTTCGGGCGACCGGATGATAACGGCAGCAGATGATTCAGCAGTGTGCGTTGTACCACCTTCGCCACCAAATGCACCATCAGTGCCAAGACTGCCGCCAACACATCGAGCTGCTTCTACAACTTCCACTGTGTCAACGGCTTCTTCAGTAGCGTCTGTGGTGTCGGCGGCATCGTCATCGGCGTCGGACTTTGTATAATATTTTAACAGAGTAAAGGAGCTTGTTTCCTCATAAGTTATGGATGGATACGTCTTATACGTTCCACTAAAAAAATCGTGTGTTCATATTTTGCTTTCGTTTAAGAATTATTTGTACACATATTTACCATGAATTTTGCTATATGTACATACATATGTAAATGTCTACATAATATTGTTCTAAAGACTTTTGAGAATTTGTAATTTAATTATTAATTAATGCTAAAATTATGCACAAAAATCAACATTTTATTTAAAAGAAATTCATGGAAAAACCTGTCGGCTTATTAACGCGTTGAAATCTTAAAATTCGTTTGCTCCTGTTATGTATTTGATTTTGAAAAATTTGTTATAACATGTAATTACCGAATATTATGCAAATGATTTTTTAAATTTCTGTAAATTTATAACAATTTCTGCATTTAGCTTAGAAAGTACATAATTATATATCTCGGTTTGAATAAATCGAATTCGTTTCGCTGGAATTGCACCTATAGCAAGCGTGGCAATTCTTACAGAATTAAAATATATATATCTACTGTAAATATATTTATACTTGAGTCGAAGAAATTCATATGAATATATAAAATATATCTATAAAAAACCTATCAATATATGCTAACTCTTTTTCTACTATTTAACAAGTAAGTTTTAAGCAAGAAATACAACTGACTTCAATGCTCATATAAAACTTTAGTATAGACCACACCCTGGGTACCACCTTTCCGATCAAAATGAATAATCGAAAACGGTCCACGTGGTCTAGAGTTATCTGGTAAAACACATTAAAAAATTCCGATAAATTAATAACCTTCCTTTTCTTTTTGAAGTCGGTTAAAAACATATACACATATGTATGTACACTTATGTTATCGCACAAATAATATATGAAACAATCTTTGAAAATAATGGATTATAAATGTTATAATTTCTGGCTGTAATAAAAAATTAGATTTAAAATTACAAAGGTCTTCTAAATACATGAACATGTTCTGATTCATCGGGATATTCACATTAAGCCAGCGACCAAAAATCACCGAGCTACAAAAGAACACTTGCAAACTCGGCTATTTATCTGAGTTCAGCCTGGTCGGTTAAAAAATACGCGACCTGAAGGGTAGTGTTGTTAAGTGAAAAAAGTGCTGTATTGTAAATTGTTAATGGGAAACTGGAGAGGGAAATTTTTGTTTCCTTATATACGTGACTTATATTTTAAATAAGTGTACATATTACGCCAATACCTCGCATAATCACTCATTTCAATTGGTTTTTGTATCTAAATGCCGTTAAAATAATCACATTTTTCTTTCCAGCTACCAACAGGGTTGCTTAAGTAGCTAAAATAAATTTTACCCGATTTGAGCGTTATTTTGCAAAAATGCACCTAAGGTCACGAAATACACCCGAAACTTTGCAGTTTGTAGATAGGATCGAGAACAAAATGAAAATAGGTTTCTTATACTTCCTGAACCCTCCATTTTTATACCCGAGCGCACTTGTGCAGGGTATTATGACTTTGTTCACATAACGGTTGTTTGTAACAGGCAAAACGGATCGAGATAGATATAGACAAATGATCAGAATGAAAAGAGAAATCGATTAAGCGTCCGTCTGTCCGTCCGTCCGTCTGTGCACACGATAACTTGAGTAAAAATTGAGATATCTTAACGAAACTTTGTACGTGCACTTCTTTCGAGCGTTGGACGTATGGTATTGAAAATCGGACAATAACCACGCCTACCTCCCATATAACGGTAATTTTCAGAAATACGAAAACTGCTATATTTTAGTAACTACTGAAGATTATTCACTCAAAATTGATATTTACAATAATTTTTAGACGAAAAATAAGAATATTATAAATTTTTGGAAAATGGGCGTAGCCACGCCCACTTATGGTTATATATGTATATCCTGGTAACCGCTGCACCAATTTCTTCCAAACTTGGCACAGTTTTTAGCCTTGCTACTGCATACCAAATGACCGAAAATTTAAAAAAATCGGACAATAACCACGCCCACATCCCATATAGCGGTAATTTGGAGAAATACGAAATCTTCGATAAATCAGTAAATTTTAAAGCTAATTTATTCAAAATTGATGCTTGGAACAATTCTTTATCAAGAAATATTTGTATGATAAAATTTTGGAAAATGGGCGTGGCACCGCCCACTTACGATCACATATACATATGTATCTCGGTAACCGTTCTACCAATTTGTACCAAACTCGGTATGGTTATTGTGCTTGCCACATAAAAGCAAAACGTTAAAAATATTGAAATCGGACTAAAATTGAGGCCGCTTTTCATATAACGGAAAATTTCAGAAATGCTTGAAACGTCAATAATTCGAAATTGAAGGACGCTAATTTACTCAAAATTGATACACCCCGGCTTACCATGTAGCGGTAGCTTCGGAAAGGTGAAAATCATATATTTAATACTTTCGCCGGGTATTTAATGTTCGGCTCCGCCCGAACTTGGACTTTCCTACTTGTTTATATATATAAAAGAAAAAAAAGACGTTTTTTCCTTCTTGATGCACTTACCTATTTATTAAATGCTTTGACTATTTTTCATCCTATTTTCAAATCAAAAATTGTTCTTGGCATCCTTAAGCACCATATTGAAAATTTTCAAAATCGGACAGCAACCGCTCCCCCTGAAATATCGTTAACTTTGAGTGTTTTTAATTAGCGATATGCATGGAGCGTGTGGTTTTTGTCCGATTTCAAAACGTATCGAAAATTTCACGTCATTGCCTAAAATTTCCACTCGACTAATGGCGTTAAAACTGAAAAACATGGCAGCCCTGTATAGTTTTCGACGATTTTCGTCGTTTACTTATTTCAGCACGACAGTAGGCAATGCCAATATTAGCGAGTCGTACAATATCGATATCGATGAAGTAGTTTTTGAGATACACTCACATACCTATGTGATATAAGTAGGAGGTGCCACGCCGATTTTCCTAAAATTGTATCAAAAACATTTTTTTTGCTAAAGACCCATTCAGGGCTATCAGTGAACCCATCGTAGTCCGTTTTCTCGTGAAATCTACGAAAATGTTATTACTGAATTGGAATATTTTAAATGCACTAAACCAAGTCTTATATAACGCAAATATTCGTTTATTTAAAAGTCTGTTAATGGTAGAGCATAAATATTAAAAATTTCCAATTATTTTTCAAGCTATGTTACAAACATATATAACAATCGATAGGCTAATTCATCTAAACGCGTAAATGCCTCGTATCAATGTAAGTTAACATATGTACTGGAATTTGCTTCCACACACTTGACACCAGCAACAATAGCAGCAGTAGCAGCAGCAAATTAAATTAAATTATTCAATGTATTTCATTTGAGTGTAAGTCATTGCATTATAAGAAAACATTGTGAACAAGTAAAACACTTCTGCGACAATTAACATAACAGTTTAAGTTAGATGAGTTATATATATATATATTTTTCTTAGATTTGAGGTATCCTAGTTGCGCAGTGAAGTGACAAAAAAAATCAGTTGTTAACAGAATGACAACAAATCGCAGCCACAGTACAAATGCTACTGACGTAGTTGAATTAATTTAATTAAATTAATACAATAACTCAATTCGTTCAGTTACCAAATATAAGTGGAAGGAATTATTATACAATACAACTGATGAAGTTAAAAAAGAAATTGAGAATCGTTTAAAAATGAAACGGGAAAACTAAAACCTTCGACGGCAAAATAATAAACGAACAAACAAATACCGCATCGGATGTTATATTCGAGCCCTTAAAATTAATTTACGATAAAATGAAAAATGACAAAAAACAACAGGCAGAACACACCACAAAGTACCACCAGGGCAAAAATCACCAACATTTACTTACCTGCAGGCAAAAACTATACAGCCACAACATAATAATTAATCATCGACGAAAATCATATTACCTAAAATAAATGAACATAAATTAAGGACAAAAACTCGAACCAGACAGAACGAAAAATTACACTAAAGATGGCACAACGCCGAAACCGGTTTGTCTGCAAACCAAACTTGACAAGGGGTGACGGAAATTCGTCGCAAAAAAATTGGCTTAAGTTACCATAATAAAGAAACAAAACCAAGAGAATTTAAACCAGGGATCCAATCGTAACATCCGTTCACGGATCGAAAACCATACGAAAGAAAATAACGTGAAATAACGACAGTCGTATAAGCTGAATGGGGGTAAAGAGCACGTTCACGTGTGTCATAATCCGAAAAATGTGTTTTTATATGACGAGTAATACGATAGCAAGTTCCCAAAAATAATATGAAATGAACATTTACTTGCAGGGTTGTCCTTGTGCCGTTAGTGGCAGCGAGAATCGTGGACTACTCAACAACCCTATTTATTCCGATACCATCAGGCGAAACTGAAATTTTTTCAGAATTTCATTTATTTGAAACACACTATAAACTTTACAGTCATAGAAGAAGGATTTGTGAACAAAATATAATAGCAGCTCTTAAAATTGAAAAACAAAAAGAAATACTACGACAGGGCCTGGACGAGATGGACGACTTAGTGCGCATGCTCAGTAGACCCGGTGGAACTCGACGCGTCATCGATTTCCTGGGGTCTGCTCTTAAATTTGTGGCTGGAGTGCCCGACCATCAAGACTTACAAATTTATACGGTTACCGAAAATGAAACTATAAGGGCTGGAAATAGACAAATAGAAATAAAAAAGAAATTCAAGAAAACAATTGATGAAATAACAGACGAATTAATAATATCAATACTATAAATGCAATTGATTATGAAGTGGGTCACTCTGCTTATGGCACGAAGAAAGAGAATAGTTGTTGCTAATATAATATAATATTAATATTTAGCAAAATATAATATCGTAGACCCACTAATTTTAAATTCAGAAGAAATCAGTTTGATAGAATTCAAGGAAAACACACTTGTTCCTATGTCCGATATTATTACAATTTCAGATGTGAAAATTTATTACCAAAACGATGCCCTGATTTATCTTGAAAAATTCCTCAAATAAAAAAAATTGCAAATTATATCAAATAATCCCTGTGGCACAAAATAACAAAATGTTGTATTTAAAGAATAATTTAACTGGAACCCTGTTAATTACATTTGAAAAATCTCTTACGATAAATGGAGAGAAATACAAAGCAAATCATCAGATCGATATTATTGAGCTCCTAGCTCCTAAGAAAACTATTTTAATTGAGACAAGTCAACAAAGACACCTATCATTGCCATTCCTTCATAAACTGCATATTCGAAATAACGAGCGAATAGAAGAGATAAAAGTCGTTCTTGAAAATAGAAAATGGATGTGGTATGGCGTAATTTCAATACTCACAGCAATCATAATAATAGTATTGTTATCAAAATATAAACTTATATTGACCAGCCTCAACATAATTTGTCAACGATGGACATTGCCAAAAGCAGAGAAGATATTAGAGCCCGCTTGGAAGCAATTGTGTGTGAGGGCAACCGCATTTGAAGGGGAGGGTAGTTAACATATGTAGTGGAATTTGCTTCCACACACTTGAAACCAGCAACAATAGCGGCAGCAGCAGCAGCAAATGCAGAAACGTGGGAACGAATGCATGTACTTAGTACGTGACTTAATGCGAATAGAAATGCAGCGTCAACAATTTAGCTTTAAGAAATTAGAAAATAAGAAATATAGTTAAGAAATAGCATTGGTAGATTAGAATATGAATATTCAAATAAAGGTAGTGTGGATTTGACAAACAAAACCAACTTGTACACATCTTACTTAATTTTGTATGGAAAATCGGTTTATTTACGAGGTTTACGCGATTTACGAGGCATTTACGTGTTTCCATGAATACTCATAATAAGTTTTACGCGGGCTATCAGTAAAGTTACTTTC